ACACACACACCCCACACACACACACCCCACACACACACACCCCACACACACACACCCCACACACACACGCTCAACACTCATATGCTGGGAGACTAGTCGTGAGCTTAGGCGGTGCCACGCTTGTGCTTGCTGGTGGTTGGTCGTCGCAAGATCTCACCATGTAGCCAGGGAAGATCAACACCACCTCAAAGGAAACACATGCACTACTCTTGTAGGACTAATTATATTAGCAGTTGACGTGCCCAGAATCACCAATCAATGAAAAAAATGTTTTGCTGCTTACTGTGGGATTGTGGGGGCTCTCACTGACCTCTTGTTTCAATTTAATTAAAGGTAAGCAGTATTAAGTTGTTCCATTTCAGTGTATCCGACAAGCTGGTATTCTAGGGTAGTTAAGTGCTTGCACTTGATAACTATTTATTATTGTCATCCCTGATTCTCATGGAATCAGCAATATGTGATCTTGCCGGATGATATCCATGGATTACCAGATAACCAGCGTTCCTGAAAGATGTTTGACCTCTTATGCCTTGCCATGATCTCTGAGAAAACCTCTACTGCTTCAGCCTTTTTATTTGAAGGCTTATATTATGTTCTTTTTTTTGCAGGACGAACCCTCTAATGGATGGGACACAGACATGCCCAGTGAGACAGTAACTCTGTTAGTGTTGTTTAATTTACTTTGTACATACATGTCTTATTGCTAACATTCACACTCAATTAAAATGAAGCACTGCTTTTGTGGCATCTGATTAAAATCATTAGTGTTTGCAGATTATGTGGTTATTGGCAGAGATTTTGATTTCCCTGGAAAGATTGTGAGGGCAGGTCTGCAATGATATATGGTAATAGTGAGAGAAAATAATTTTACATGTCATTACAGTAACACTCCACAATGCCTTTCAATTATGTGTACTGTAAATTTAAAATAACTAATTTTAAATTGAAAGTAAATAATAAGAATATTATCAATTCATTTAAAGTCTGATGGAAACTCACTCAAAATTTTTCTCACCTTAGTGTTTCCTGTCAAATGTGTTGTATCTCAGTTCATTCCTATGAATGAACACGTCTACCCCTTCATCAGGGTCTAAAGTCATTACTGCTTCTCTATGACTGGTGTTGCAACATTTAGGCAATCCTACCTTCAACCAAGGGGATGTACCAGCTGAGATGGCTCAGGGTATCAACTGATGTCACTGCGTTGCCTCTGACTGTGAGGTCCTAGGGTTCATGTCCAGAAAATCTCAGGATTTCCAACACAAGCAAGATAGCCAGACTGTCTGGAAGTGAATTCTAGCAGCCGGCTGCTCTGATCGGTAGTTTTCTGTATTATTTCCTATCAAAACCAAGCAAATGCTTGAGCAGTTCCCTACCCTACCCTCACCTTTTACTTGCATACACTTACACTTAAATGAACTACACTACCACTTGGACTACCACGGGACTTGGGGTGAGGCCCCTCTCCATCCCTCACACGTGTGCACCCTCGTAGCATGAGTAATTTGCCCTAGAGAAAACACAACTCTGTAAACGTCAAGTATGCTTATGTTGGTATATGCTTGTCTGGGGAACACTTGTCTCGTGGTTATCTGTCTTTCTCCACCCCTCAGCCTCCTGTTAGCACTTCTCTGATGCTTTCTTCCACAAAAGGTCGTGGCCTTACCCAAATCAGACATGTTTAGGGTAAAAAAAGTTTATTTCTGATCGTTCCCAGCTTTTGTCACGTGCTACATAGTAAACACATCTGATCTTCAGATACTTTGTTAAGTTTGATGTGTCACATCACAATATACATTTATTTTAATTTTATTTGTACGTACAGTTGCAGAAAACTGATATAGCTGCAATCGAGATGTATTTTGCAAAGTTGAATTAGTTTACAGTGTAATAAATGCTAATGATTTGTAATCTAATATTACATAGAGATGTGAGAGTAGTCTTTTTAATTGGTATACAGTCCTGGTTGAGACGATCTCTTCAGGTTATTGCAGTAATTAACTATGCAGTTCATGAGGATGTTTTTGTAGTTGACGTGTTTGAATTTAGCCTTCTTTGGCTTCAGGTTGTGGATAGTGGTGTATGTGTATGCAAATCTTTTGATTTCCTCAAATATCTTTTAAGTCTTTCTTTCTTGCACAATGAGAATATACAGAAGACCGCACGAACTGGTTTAGGTTGGAAGGCACAGCTGTCCTATGACTTGCGTGCTGATAAAATTAATGAGATAATGATCTTTGACATATGTCAACAAAAGAGTCCAAAGATAGCATCATCTTCCTAACATTTCATCTCCAAATACTAAGTCCAACTGTTTGTCGTGGTGCCATATCGGAATTTAACCTTTCCAAAATTTGCCGGGAAACTCGCAAAGTTATGAAAGCGCAACCCTATATTTATTTGGCTATAAAGGTTGTTTTGAAAATCATATAATACTAATACATTAAGGGAGTTTTTTTGGAAACATTACATTTTGTAGTGTGATGACATGAAGTCATATAGGTTACCAATTTCAAGATCAAAAGCCAAGGGTTTGTAGAGGTGTCATAATAGAGCATGTGCTTTCAAAGAGGAAAATTTATGAATGTGTTTTCATTTATGAAATAAAAATTGATCAAGCTCCTTATAAGTTGTATTAACAAAACAAAAAATTACAAATATTTGTAACAATTCATCTAAGTGAAATAAAATGGTAAACTTAGTGCTGCATTTACTCAATGTTGGGAAGAAATAAGTTGAAGTATTCTACAAACTTGTATGGATGAGCAAGCACAAGCTATTAGTTTCACAATCATTACATGTCAGTTCATCGTTCTAATGCCTGCAATTTGTACCATTATTCCCAATCAAGAATTTATCCATTTTCAATTTTGCTTTTAACACAGCTCATAGTCCCTTACTCCTTAGTTTTATTAATGCTTTCCAAATTATTAAGAATATATTTTGTTTATTAGGCATATAGCACTCATCAAATTGCCACAATTTGTCATTGATGAATTATACAAAGAAGGGAAACAAAAGAACTGCAAAACATCTACACAGTACACTTATATTGTTGAACCTTCCTACTTCTATAGCCCTTTCATTACAATCCCGATCAAGCTAAATATGCAATGCTCTGGTACATCTAAGTGTTAATTTGTGGCAATGTCCAAAGTGTTTTGTTATCTATAGTACAGTTCCAGAAGCTAAAAAGCTAGACTACTCTTGATTTCTGAAATTTGATGTTCTCAAATTTGATGAACTGACTTTGGTAGAGAATCTTGTTTTAGCTTGCAAGAAGTATGTTGAAGAACCTTCCTTATCCATTGTTCATGAAAATGGAGTTTTTAGAGCATGTAAACTGTCATAGCAAGTGCTGAGTGGACACTCTTTAAAATGCTACTGTTTTGATCATAATGTAGGAGGAAGATGTTTTAAGAACCTGTGTTTTAAAGAACCTTTTTGTTTGGTGAAGTTCAAAGGAGGCACATGATGGATTATAATTAAGTAATAAAATGTACTTAATTACCATTGTAAATACAATGTGATAAAGCCAATGACATTTCAAATCTGCATTATGTTCAGGATGATAAGTCTAGACATTCTAAAATCATCTTCATTCAAAGGAGATTCAGGAACAGCATCACCAATACCTTCTCTCCCGCCTTGTGTTTGTGACTGCAAATATATCATTCTTGTCTGTAGTTGTTGAATGGGAACATTTGTCATGGCACAGTAAATTGTAATTCTCTATTTTTATGTTTTTATTTCAGCTCAAGTACTGGAAGGATGGTATTCCTGAAGAAAATGCTGTGTATTACCTCAGCCGAAGTACACGTCCCTGGGCTCTGATTGTTGGTTTACAGCCTGATACATACTATTATGTTAAAGTCATGGCTTACAATTCAGCAGGGGAAGGTCCAGAGAGCCAGTTCGTAATAGGTAATGTAATGTATTTGCAGTTGAATATGGTACTTAAACAGTTACTACAAACCTACTTTAATAAATAGGAACAGGTATCATCATCAACTAGTAAGCGTTAGGTCAATGTGACATGTTCCTTTCAAGTATTCCTTTTGGCACAAAGGTCTTCTGGCCTTGCCATCTTAGTTTCAGTTTTCTGTGTTCTCTCTAACCTTTAATTTTGTACAAAAGTATGTTTCACAAATGTTCGCTTTCATTCTCTTGTGTTTCTTCCATTTTCATTGGTTATCTGCTACTTATAGATGTTGTGGTGTAATATCTTTGGCATTTTTCATGAAATACATAATTTTCATGAAATTTTTTACTTCCTTGGTTATATTTTAGGTTTTCATTCTCTTTTATATGCATGGGCTTGTAACTCTGTTTCTTCTATTGATAATTTAAATTGATCTCCGTACCAATTAATACATCAAATGCAGAGCAATATCAGCAAATGATTTGCAGTTATCTTATTTGTAATAGATCTTAAATATTATGCACTTATCTTATTGTCTTCTAGTGGAGCTCATCAGTTCAAACATTTCTCTACGTTGTGCAACTTTTAGTGGAATTGCATTATTTTGTTTTGGGTTCATGAAGTGAGTTGATATTGTATGTTTTTGAGTGTACTTGAATATTTTAATTATTCCCTGTTCCTGATGACTCACTGTTGGTTCTCTAACAATGTTGACTGAACTCCCAATGACTTTCTTGCTTGCTCTCACATTCTTGAGAAGATAGAAGTACAAATGAGGTCTTTGATTTTTTTAAACTTTTCAGTACTAGTGTTTTTGTTTAATAGTTCTACTTTTTTTGCCCTTTTGCAGAACGAACGTACAGGAAAGCACCCCAGAAACCACCTTCGTCCGTGCACGTCAAGGGAATCAACCCATCGACTGTGAAGGTGACATGGCGTTATGTGGCTCCCAGTCTGGAGGAGGAGCCTCTTCAAGGCTACAAGGTAAGTGTTGATGTGTTTGCTAGTCACAAAGTGAGGGTTGTAGAAAGAAGAGTCCCTCTGAAATAAACTATTGCTTCGAATGACTATTCATGCGATTAGCAAAAAGTACTGAACAAGTATTTAAAAATATGAAATATACCAAAGAAGGGTTAATCCTAGAGCAGAACATTTATTGGTAGTCATCCATCTATTGGTAGTACGACTGGTAATATATTTCACTGAATTTCTCGCTAAAGAAGTAAGAAAACTGTTAATAAAACAAATTGTGAACAAATGTAAAGAGATGATGAATCTGGAAAGAGCAGGTGGTAAACGAGTAGTAATTGCCATTCATATTAGATCTCAATGTGAGATCTACACCCATGATAACAAAGGAGAAATTAATTGTTTCATTTGAAAGAAAGACAGTGAAATGCAAAAGATTTAATGGGAATTGAGTAATCTCTAGAACAAGTCTTATTCATCTAGTGATTGAATTGACAAGACCTACTATGAAAGTACAAACTCTAATATCTCCAGAAGAGAGTGCATTTCAAGAAGTGTAATTGGTCACAAAGGACATTTTGGCAAACTGAATAGAACATGAATGAATGTAAGGCAGGTTACAAACACATTCTTGGCATAAAAAACTAGAACTTATTGATACAAGACAGGCAATCTTTTTATCTCTTGAATTTTCTGGATATGAAGGTAACTTTCCTTACCCTGATTAACTGATGAACTCTGTCATCACTTTTGTGTAGGATACCTTCATGAGGTAACGAAGACAGATTCAAAATGGTCTCATTGGTAGGCGGTGAGCATCGAGATATCCTCCTTACACGTATTCCGTTTGTTTGACATAATTCAGGAAGGGTAGGCTTATGTTAAGGAGTCTTTGAGTGGAGATGTTCTGTGGAAGGGGAAGATTAACAACTGCTTAAAAAATTTAATAATTTAATTAATTTATTTATTTGTTTTAAATTACCAGAAAATGTAAAGAATATACTTAAGTAGAGTATATTTCACAATTAATAACAGATTGATTGCAAAATTTTAATTAGTGTCTCAGAAATTGCAACTTTTCAGGAGAGAAAACATTTTGAAGTTTCCATTACAAGCTAATGTACATGTGAGCAATTTCCATCATATTTACAAATTTCCAGTTTATTTCTATCATGAGTGTTGTTACCATTAGGTAGATGATGATCTTATCTTTCGGGTGACATTATTACCCCAAAATAGCCAAATTGTGATAATCAGATAAGTGGTTTATATTTACCCATCAAAATAATATAATAAGTATGTAGAAATATTGTATCATTCATGTTTCAAAAATTTTCTCCTCACCTTCTAGACAAAATCATTAGAATCCAACCAATTAGTTTGTGGTCTGTTGGCACTTTTACACAATCTTTGGATTGAAAATTCAAAACTTTAAAATCCAATAAGCAAATTCTGGTTTTCTAGATTAAAAATTAAAAACTTTAAAATCCAATAAGCAAATTCTGGTTTTCTAGATTAAAAATTAAAAACTTTGAAATCCAATTGGTTCAATAAGAGAGAAGAATCAAATTTAATAGTTAATAATTAATTCAGAAAGACTAGATCAACGTTCAGTCAACTCCAGTTATAGTGAACCATCGATTATAGTGACTTAAATCACTGGTCCCGTTTCACTTTCGTTACACGTAAGCATAAGAGGATTTGGTTATAGTAAACCTGGATTGTAGCTATAGTAACTTAGGACATACGACCTGGAAACTAATTCTCTCCTGGAAAAGAATATCACCTCAGTGCCACATTCCAACACCAGGCAACCTGGAAAAAATACCTTCAGCCAAAAGTCATAATCAAAGAAGTCTCTTCTGAGGTGAAGGTAGTGGCTGTGGAGTGCAAACCTTAATGATGATGACCTTATGCCACTCAGTTTCACTGCAGAAACACAGGTCTTGTCCTTCGTGGTCTACAACTGGCAGTGGTGAAGTGCAAATGTTTGCTTCAGTTTCAAGCATGGTGTTATATTCCACAGGACAAAGCACTTCGCGTTCTATGTAGGTCGCGTTCTATGTAGGTGACATGTAGGAATCGAAATGTACGAAGCAAGCAATTGAAAATAATTGATTTTTTTTGGACATTGAAATTTTTCAGTTTGTGCTGATAGTGTATTTTGCTGTATCTCACTTCTTAAAATCAATTACTGTGGAAAAATTCTATTTAATTTTGACATCATTGGCTTTAGTGAACCTCTGATATAGTAAACCAAATTTGTTAATCCACAGAAGTTCATTATAACCGGAGTCGACTGTATGATTTGTGTCAGAATATTTAAATATGATTCTATATTATTGTATGATGTATTGATTGATAAGGGATCTTTAAGTCCCATATGAAGTGAAGCAATTCTGCAACCTGTTCAATTATCACAATGTTGTTCTACGACCAAACTTTTAATGAAAACATTATAAATACTGATCTCAAAGTTTGAATTGGGTGTAGCTCATGATTCATGTGTAACAAAGCTCAATAGTTTATTTAACAGTATTAACTGTTATCAGTGTAATTAATATGATTAAGTGATATTTTGGAATCAAACACAAACCCAAGAACTTGGTTAGTTGTTATCCTTTCTAGTATAGACATTTTTATCAATATAATCCGTACCATTTACTGATTAACATCTGATAAACATGATGTTTTGCCATTAATTGAGTCTTTACCACTACACCACATCACAAAGGAATTTAATGACTTTCATTAATCAATTCTGTCTTGAAGTTTTTACAATTTTAAAAACGTTTAAGGTCATCTGCAAAAAGAAGTTCCACATCTTTCTAAATCACTTATCATTAATATTGTTTATAAAAAGTAAATAAAAAGGGTGCCAGCCCTGAGAATTCCCAGATGAAACCTAAATAGCGCCAGATACAATATTCCCATTTGTGACGTTGAATTTCATTAATTTGATAATTATTAACGAAATGTTATAATGACCGTCATTTACCTAAATATTCCAATGTATAAAAGAAAATCAAGAATGAAGAAATCAAAAGCTTCAGACTGAGTCAGTCTTCAATTTATGCCTGAAATTATCTTCCATTGCATTAAGAATGTATTGCATATAATATACTAGATTTGTGTTGGAATTTGTACTTGGCATAAAGTTTCTTGTGTAGAAATAGATAAATTAGATTTTTTAATTTCTCAGCAGCTATTGATCTAAACAGTTTTGGAATAACACTAAAATGTTACAGGCCAGTAATTTGAAATACAATTTTTGTTGATATGAATATACTGGATATGAATGTAGATTGGATGTAAGATGTTTTGCATTCCAAAGGAAATACACTATAGCTACCATTTGTACAGGTTAATTCTGAACATTTCATTATGCTTATACGAACAAGTGTCGTACTTTTAGGTTTGGCATCTGTGACACCCCCCCATCTCAAATCATAATCAAATTTTTTGCCAATTTTCCTGATCCATTGAGCAAATTGTGAGATGGCCTCTTGTCTGGACATTCAACTTCTTTTTTTTTTTTCCAGGACCCTTGTTATTCCTAACCAGCTTGATAGTGTAATGGACAAAAGCATTAAATGCAGAGCCTATGCACTCCAATCTTAGCATATATTTTGACAAGTTGAAAACAATTACATATGCATTTTATGGATCAAAGTCAGCTGTTGGTGGCTGAAATGACATGTGCATTAGAGTTAACGTGCATACAATTTTCACATGGGTTCAACTAGTATTATACAATATTATGAACCTGTTACAAATAATACAAGAAAGTTATAGCACAACACATGTGCCAAATTTATTAGGAGGAATCATCCTAGAAGTAAAAGGCTGATAATTGAATCTGTTCTCTACTTTTGATTAATTCAATTTTTGACTAATGTTAGTTGTTTCAAAGTTGTGAGAACATATCTATTAGTTTTGTGCAACAGAGGTAGAGAAATAATTATTAATTATTTAGGAGAAATTATCATTAATCATTATGGAAAATTACTTGAAGAAAGGGGAAAATGCTATCTAATAAACAGGGTATCTCTTGTTCTCTTTAGCTAAATAGACATTACTTTACTGGAATTTCAATATTGATACATAGTTTATTTTTAGTATAGAAAATTGTGTTAAAATATTCTTGGAATGTTTACTTGCAGGTGCGAGTCTGGGAGGTAGATCAAGATATGAGCACAGCTAATGACACAATAATTGGTGTTGGTTCCAAATTGGAAGCCTATGTTTCAAATCTCTCTCCTGGGAAAGCATACCATATGAGGGTTCTTGCCTTCTCCAATGGAGGAGATGGACGCATGTCTTCTCCAGCACTTACTTTCCAAATGGGTAAGTAGATATTTACAGAAGTATGATAATTGTTAATTCTTATTTATGTGCTTGTTTGTGGCTAAGATTATTCAGATTTATATTCAGCACCAAATCTAACGAGGAAGGCTAATGCTGAATGTGTGGAGCCCTCTTAATAAGAGGAAAGAAAAAGAAAAATCTTGTTTCTCTTCATGAAATTTGAGTAAATATTAGTATTGCGGATTCTAAGTAAATTATTCAATGAAAATGCTTTGTCTCCTCAGATCTAAAAGTAAGTATTAGGCACCACGTGTGTAGATTGGTACAGTAACAAACGGGGTATAATTTTTTATTCTTAATATTGTTCTCTGTGAGTTGCAATTCAAATATAAATTTGTGATGATGATAAGCCTAGTAATTGCAGAAAACTTCAAAGTAATAGGAATTACCATAAAAGAGGAAATAGGATAAGAGTAGGTTTAGCTTTTGGAAAGAAGGGACGTGGATGTAACACTGTGAATGTGCGGAATGTTTTTGAGGTCAATATAAGCCAGAAAACATATTGGAACATTCAAGGCTTGTCTGATTTTTCTTCAAACAGCCTAACAAGCACAACAGCTGAGAATCCTCAAACAAATAGTAACATTCTACATGCGCGCGCGCGCGCACACACACATGCTCGTGCTCACGCTCTCATGTTTTAGAAAGTGCTCATATGTTTATGGGTGTTACTAGATTGATGAACAAAACAAAGATGTAGCTTTTAAAAAAACATTTTGATTTAATATCATGTGAGAAAAAAGGTGATCCAACTTTGAAAAGAGGAAGCACAGAGAACTTACTGCAGGATCGTAAGTTCTCCTTGATGAAGTGGTTGGGGAGACCATTCCGCAAGAAAAGTTAAGACAATTTTTTTTGGGGGGGGGGTAGTTCTAGCAAGAGGTTGTCCATGTTTAACTTCCTGGCAGATGGCAGAACAGTCACTGAAGTTAATTACTTTCAATTATTACTGACAACAGAAATGAAGAAAAAGATCTGATTCAGAAGAAAGAGAGGTGGAAAGCAGATAGCGTTTCTTTAAGAAAATACACAGCTTCATGAAGCCAACACAATTGAAAATTGAAGTTCCTATTTCAACAGTGATTAAAAGTGAAGGCTTAATCAAGACACAGAAAGCATTGACAGTGTTTGAAAATTCAATGTCGTAAATGATTATTACAGTCAAAACATATGACATATGTCTACATCTTGCATGTGAATTATAAGTCTCCTGACCAAAATATCTGTATTGGTATAAAAATGAATTTTTGATACAGAATCGCTTGGGAATAGACATAAACTTAAATGATAATCTTTCTGTTTAAAATGGTACAAGGAATTGTTGATTCCTTGTTTCTCCTTTCTCAGACATCTTTCTTTGACCCGCAGTACTGTTCACAACCTAACTACCACCCACTACCATTCACTACCCAATAGAACGAAGCTCTCTGTTACATTTATGTCTATTGATGCTATGGCCTTGTCACTTTTCATCAGAATATAGATATTTTTACAAACTCATTATCACAACTTATATAAAAAAATTTATATCTATCAAAACCACTTAATTATAATGTATTTTTTTGTCACAACTTTGTAATCCTATAATGTCTGCTGGATTTATGTATCTTTAAATAGATAACTAAACATGTATATTGAAAATTAATCAATAATTTCTGGCCTGTTCTGTCTTCATGACGTTTAATCTTGCCACTGCTTCTAAGGACTTCCAATGTTTATCGTACCATTCGCATGATGTTTTATTATCTTTAGGATTCTGACCTTGTGCTTGCTTTCAAGGGGGCTGTGCCTTGGTTCCTTAGTATATTAGAATATTTTGTCATTAAGGTTGAAGTCAGAATTCTTTAGGTGTAATATTTCGTTTATGGCCTGTTAGGTAATATCTCATAACCCATGGGAACTTCATTTCTGCACTGTTGATTCTTGTACTCTGGATTTGTGTCACAGTCCAATTTTCACTTCCATAGAGCAGTGTTCCATACAGCCATGATTTTATAAATTTTATCTTGGTTTCACGCGTGGTATTTTTATTTCGTGTAAGTTATGTTAACCCATTTTAACCCAAGCATTGAAATACTAAATTTATTTAATACATTTCTGTTAAATATTGATAATATGTCCGCAAAGATAGTTCCTTTCTTGTTACATTAAAAAATTGACTTACGAGCTTTACGTAGTCTGAATACATTGTTATCGTTTATATATAATCAACATATAAACGCTCGCTCTCTGTCTCTGTCTCTTTTTGCTGTAGTTCCCTGAATTGCAATTTGCATTTTCAGTAATATTCAAGCAACTTTTCTAGACAAATGGCATGGAGAAATGTGGGTAGTGGGGGGTATCGGCCACAAAGAGTTTTTGAAGCAATGGCAACTTTTTGAAAATCAAAGTCAAACCTGTAATTCAGTGCAACGCTGGGCTGGTTAATTTCTTGAACTGGTAATTAATTACTTGAAGCAAACTGATTTAATTCACATGGAGTGACGAATCTCTAATTATAATGAATTCCTATTATCAACTTTGTCAGCCTCAATAGCAACTAACAAGACAAACTTTTTTAGAGACTTAAAATACTTTAATAAATTAACCTTTTGCTCAAAGATCTCTGGAAAGCTGGAGCTAATATATAAGAAAACAAGATACACAGATTATAAGTATCCTTGGATGTTTCTTTTCTTCCTGGGCATTTCTGAACAATTTTCAGGCTCAATGACTATTTTATTATTTATTCTCCATATTGCCCCCATAGTTCCAGTGTAAGCAGAAACCTGTCTTAGAATATTACTTAGAGGATACATCAGAATCGTGTTTCCTTTTTTCAACTTGCATTTCTTCTTTTCTTCTTCTTTTCTTCTTCTTCTTTTCTTCTTCTTCTTTTCTTCTTCTTCTTCTTCTTTTCTTCTTCTTCTTCTTTTCTTCTTTTCTTCTTCTTCTTCTTTTCTTCTTCTTTTTTCTTCTTCTTTTCTTGTCCTTCTTTTTGAGATTTTCTTTCTTGCACAATTGGAATATACCAAAGATCATACAAACTACCAAGGAAGGCAGAGTTGTGCCTGCATATATACCGGGATTTATTTAAGTGTGCACTTGACATAAATCAGCACTTGACATAAATCAGCACGTGACGTAAATCAGCATGTGACGTAAATCAGCTGTTCACGGTTTCATCCAGTCAGGAGCTGGAACGTTCCCTGTAATGACCTTACTGTAGTAACATAGAAGCTCCCGAATAGATGAATCCGCAACAGGTGATTAAAGTCAAGTGCACGACTAAATAAATTGTACTATAGGTAGGCAAAATTGTGCCTTGCGTTGCCTTGTCTGAGTGCAGGGCAAACTATTGAGATTGTGTCCTGTGGCATATCCAACAAGAGAACAATCCAAAGATAGCACCTCCATAATATTACATTTCCTTTGAAATACTAATCTCTATAAACGGATAGTTGTGGTGCTGTAACAGTATTCGACCATTTCCAAATCTGCCAGGAAGCTCCCCATGTTGCAAAAATGCAACACAAAATTTATTTGGCTATAGAAATTGTTTTGAAAATCACATTCTTCTTTTCAACCATTAACAGCAGGTATTATAGTTTGTAGTATGACAGCAAGAAATCATGAAGGACATCTATATATTACAGTTATTACCAATGATCATCGGATTTTAAAAATGTATATGTCAGAAACTTTCACATTACATAGTGAGTGATACATTGATAGAACTTCAATCTTCCACGTTGTTGTCATTTTTTCATAAATTTTCAATGTGCCCTCTCGTTATATAAACATATCTACAGAATAGTCTAATTCTGCCTGAACACAATGTAGCATTTCTTCAGATGTGGTCATCGTAGCATCAGTAATGCAATTCTTCAGTTTCTTTATTGCGATGGCAATGGAGGCACATAAACAGTGTCTTAGACATGTTGCCGAAGGAAAAATCTGGAAATGTAAGGTGAGGAAAACTCGGGAGCCATGTGGACAGCACCTATTACCCGATCAATCAGACAGGATATTCCGTATGCAGGAAACAGCGCACATCTGTATGCGAGTGTGGAGAAGCATCGTCACCTTGGAGTATGAAATTTTCTGAATTACCTTCAAGTTGTGGTAATAACCATAAAATACATTACTTGTGCTGCATATGCACTATTTTCAAAACTGGAGAAGTGTTGCCTATCTGGTAAAATACAGTGAAGCCAGCTTTACATAACAAATAATTGAAAAGTTTGCAGTTTTATAGATGTAACAATCATTGTGTGTAATAGTGTAATATGTAATAGTTTCTAAAATATAAATTTTTGAAATCCGATAAATCATTTGTAATAAGTAATAACCCTGTATGTGCATTGTAAATCTTAAGAACTTGCCAAAATGATTTGATCCTCAGCAAGGAGTATGGTGTTTAGCGATGCATTATTTATTTATTTATTTATGTACACAACAGGATTAATTGCCCTAATCAAATTATATATTATACATATTTGATGTACATACATGAAGCTGAATAAGATATACATACGAGCAAACAGTTTTTGCAATATTTTATGTGTAATCATAACATTATTAGGAGTCTTGTTAAATAGAACGCAAAAGGCTTTATCTTTATATACGATTATGAATAAATAGTGTTCATTGGAAATTAGAGGAGAAAGTAAGCATGATTTTCTAAGAATAATATTTTTGAACTTTTGATAGAGCCCTCTTAATCAATTAAACATGGTTAATTTAGGTTCACATTGTCATCATTGACAATAAACATTTCAAAAGTGAAAGGTAATGAAACTTGAACTGTATGTAATAATTTGTCATTATAGCAATTACTCTTTCAATTTATTCGCAACGGTTTGAATTACGCACTCTCACTTCATTATTATTATTATTATTATTATTATTATTATTATTATTATTATTATTATTACTACTATTACTACTACTACTATTATTATTATAATTATGATTATTACTATTATAATTATTATTATAAATATTGTGCCACTCATTTAACCTAATATAAATGTTTGGTTTTATTATCTTGATTTTGTTGTGTTGTAGGTAAGGCAGAAAATTTCAGAAACGTAAGTAAAAGAACATCAAATTCAGCTATTATTACAGCTTTCTTATTGTTTTTACATTTATTACGAACCCGCTGATAAAAAGACAGCATATCCTCCCACAAGTGCTCTTACCATGTTGTAAATAATATAAGTATAATTAGTAAACCAAACATGAGAATGAAAGAGCATGCAATTTAAATATGCATGTGATTGGAAATTTATATTATCCAATTACTTCATTATTGTGAACAAAGGAATGTGTGTGCATCTTTTATTGAGTGAGATATATAACAGAATAATCTTATGAATTTATACTAAGAAAAATAGTTTATTCAATAAATGTTTACGCTAGATGGGAAAATTGATTGGAAAAACAAAATCTCTTAGTTATGTGAAGTATTGAAAATAGATTCTCTTCTATGATATGAAATTATTTTGAAAACTTAAGGTCCATTCATTTTATTCAGTGGAAGAGATGTCTTCTAGTTCTCGATTCTTCTTTTCAATTTTGTGTAAGAAAAGAGAAAAAAAGGCAAAGAAGACATTATCACTTTTTAATCTAAAATTCTGGATCCAACATTGGATGTGGAATCTTCTTTCATACTTCTCAAAACAGTTTGGTCCTTTGGAAACAGTCAATTGAAGGAAAGCTATAACAAGAAGAATTGAAATAGATAGTAAACACAAGAGATTCTTTTTTTGTATGTATCTTGTAAGACTGGGCAGCTAGGCATTTTAGTGCTCTTTAGCACTCAAGAGTTTCTCCCTGTTTTTATTTGTGCAAAGAAAGAGGATGTCTTTGGTACAAATTTACTCCAATAGTTTAATACTATCTAATTGTAATGTATGACTATGTAATATGATTTATTTCTATCCTTACTGATCTTGTATTATATTGTTCAACACTTGTATATTGTATGAAAAGTCTATGCAGGTATATCCATTTTTAATATTCTTTGAATAACAGAATTATGTTATTTGAACTTGTAAACATGTTCTTTAAGTGCAATTTTCTCTAGTTTTGTTGGATAAGGAATGTAAAATTAATTTCAAAACATATTTGCTGAAAAGATTTAGAACTTAGTTTCCTCATTTGTAACAACAGTTTTGAATGTTTCTTTTATGAAATTGGGTTTTCAAAATGCATTGTGTGTAAAAAAAAATATATTATTTAAAGCCGCCCCCTCTTGAAGAATCAGAAACTGCCTGTAGAGGTTGCTTGATTGGTTTAAAAGTAAACTCAGCAATCTTGTTCTTTCCATATTAAACTTTGAACAAATCATAAAAGACCTCATTGCATTATCTTTGTATGTGTAGAAATGGATCTTATTCTTGACTGATAGTTTTCAGATGTAAAGTTGAATTTTCATGTGAAAGTTGTTCACAACTGGAGAATACAATTTTATCTATTTATCTTTACGTTACTGAATGTGTTTGGTAGTGGTCTAAAGAAGGATTGTTCTAATGCTTGACATTTATGATGCAGAAATTATCCGTATATTGAAGACTACGATTCAATATAAATTCTTGTCTCTATCTTTTTTGATTTAAGAAGAGAGCTGGAGACTATTAGATGGATTATTGAAATACCCCATGAATGTCACAATAAATCCAGCTTTGATCTTAAGGCATATGTACTCTGATGTACTTTGCATAATGCAAGTCTTCTTCCAGCTTTGTCAATGACAATAATACAAATAGTACGAATTATAAATATTTCCTTTCCCGTAGTGCTTTGCATTTCATGAAGCAGTATTTTTCTGATAATTATATTATATTGTTATTTGTAATAGATGTAGAAAAATATAAATTACTTCGAGAGCAGGAACATACTACTTACCAGCACTAATTTTGTAGGTAAAGGAAGTGACCATGAAAGATGATTCAAACTTGCGTGAAGGGCTGTACATGCCACTGTCTAGTAATTTAATTTTTGACTGCAGGTTTAAAGCTAAGCTTCAAAGAAAATGGATGACTCCCAAGTTCTTTAAGAAGGTAGACCCTTATACCTTTGTTGGCTTGTGAAACGTGTAGAAACCACATTTCATAACTTTTGCATGTTTTCTACCCAATAAAATGCGAATGAAACACAATGTTCGTTATATGAAGTTTATAGATTGTCATTGTTAATTATTGTATAAACTGTAATTTCCCATTCAAGAAAGACAAAGAATTGCAAGTGTTAAAAGACAGAATATTGTAAATTTTATGAGAGCAATGTCTACTTCCAAGTAAATAGTTCTCAACTTCTATATATACATCATGTTAGAATAAGTGGATTTTCGATTTTGCCATGTACGTATTGAACTTCATTCCATTTGTTAATGTTACAGGATTATATATATCCTATTTATTCTGCTAAAATCAATTATATTGTGAAATTGAGAAGGGAGATGAAGTTAAATTGGAACCAATATTGGTAATAGCAGTAATGTGTGTTAATAATGTAATGAATTCAGGGACAAAATTTACTTCTTTAGTGAATTAAATATTTGAGTGAATTGTCTTCCTTCGAGAAAAAGATTCATAAATACAAGATAGTCTGAATGTTTAATGAATATATAGTTGTTTTTTAATTTAATTTATTGGTTGGATTAATACATTCCATATTATTTTCAGTATTGTTACCTGTTCAGCATCTAGTAACACACTAATGCATGTTATTGCTATTATTAGTACTACGTTATTGATTTTGTGCTTTTTTATTTCTTTTATTAAAGGTTTTACTTCTATACTTATCTATTTGATAAACATTTGAATTTTTCTCATGAAGGTTCATATATATACATATACATGTAAAGATTCATGGTAAGTCCATGTGCACATATTATGTACTTTCTGTGAAATCTGAATTGTTTAAAACGGATAGTTTTAAACTAAGGAATGAAATCTTGAGAGTAAGTTTCATCATTAAATTGATGTTGAGGCAGTTGAAAATTTTTGGGTAAAGGAATCATTGAATTGCAAGTTGTGTACTATGCAGTATACGATCAGGGTCAATGCAGACCAACAGTTTAGTCTACCTCTTTTAAATCTTCACATTCTCACTGTCTCCATCAGTTTACAGCACTCCCGTGATAAGACCTCATAGTCTGGAATATAATGTCCTTTGTGTGATCGTTTTTCTCTTGTGGTACGTAATAAAGAACGGGACATATCTGAGTTCAGGTTAAATGAAATGCTGTAAATAAACATTAAAGATAACGAAACTTATGATTTTCTTTTCTTAAAAATATTTTTAGAGTTCTAGTTTTTGTTCTGTTATTTTTATTGAAAAGATAAAAAAAATTCCACCTTGTTTATTGTTTAAAATTTCTATTCGATATTGATGTGACCTCTTATTTCATGAAAACTTTATAAACAGACAGTACATATCATTTATCGTGAAATTGATGGATCTGAAGTGAAGGAGCTGTAGTTAAAGTATCTTATGTAAAAATATTAATTTCCGTCAGAAATCCAGAATGTTCCATATGATGCAATACTGAACTTGCCTAATCTTCTATATATCAATTACTGAGTGTGATTTGTTTTGCGATTAGAAAATAATATTGCACCCTTTTATGTATTCATCATTTAATTACATTTCTTATTTCTCAATAAAAATTCAAATACATCGTATATACTTCTTCCAATGTTTGATACAGGACATGTCGTGCCTTTGCTTATACATAATCTCATAGCAATACATGTAGTGCCTAAGCAATTTCCTATTAATTTGACACAAAAATGCAACTAAATGTGAAGGAATAATTGTAGATGCAAAAGGTGTCAGTCCTTTTGAATGAAATTTGCAATTTTGATCAAACAAAAAATGAAGGTAATTTCAGATTCCACAGAAAAGTTCGGTTTTTCAGCACTTCATGAAATATTTTAATACTTGTGTAACATGAGTAGATAATAATAGTGTCACCTTTTTGTTAACTCTTCAGATTCTCTAAAATTTAATACTAATTGTACATTAATGTATTGTAATAGAACCAAGTATTATCTCTATTGTTTGGCTTAATAGAAGATTCATTGCGAATGGTGTTGGTGTGGCCTTCATTATTCTACTGCAATTTTTTCTGTTCTTATTAGCTTGCTCCAAATTATTAATTAGCAAAAAGTAGAGTATTTGATGTGATGAGAGCTGCTTGTTTGAGTCAGTGGTTTTGTGTAAATCATCTGCCAATTTTCAAAAGATGTCAATTAAAATTTTTTATTGTGGATGTGTAATTATTAATGTGTGAACTACTGGGTAACAGTGTTATTTCAATCATTTGTATTTTTAACTTTCTGTAATTAATACTCCTTTAAAACATTATTCTCTAAGTTAAACATCTGATTTCAAGTATTATTCTGTGAATTGAGCACATTTGCATTTAACTGTTTTGTACTCTTACCTTCAATTTATTTATCTATACTGTATGTGTCCATTTTGGATTTATGATGACTGCCTCAAGTTCTGCATGGATATTCTTAATGTTCTTTGAGGACTCAAAGTAATGTTAGGTGGTGGATCATATTAACCTTATGTCATTTAATTAATGACTGATAACTTTTTGATTAATTTTTAATTACCAAAGCCCATGAGTTAGAGCATTAAAACATAAATAGTGTGGAAATGAATATTGATGAAAATGAATACTATTAACAGTTTCTTTTTCAATAGTGTAAGATACAAAAGTTTTCCTGTATAGTCTATACTGAATCTTTAACTTTGTTTCTCTCATTTTATAAGGTAAAATTATGTAAAAGACTTACATTTCATTGGACATTAAATGTTAACAGATGTTACTTTAGTATAATGAGTGTAACTTCCTTTAAAAATGATACCAACTGTGGATGGTATTGCTCCATCAAGAAATGTCAAAACACCACTGAACATATTCCATCAATTGACTTTGTTAGAAACAGATAAATCAGAAACATGACTGCAGATGGTATGTTATGGATTGGAGGAAGTATTGAAAATTTCACTAATGGCAGCATTTTTATTGAAAACAAGATGTGAATGTTCATTGGAGTTGCATTCTCTAGAACATTTAATAGAAGAAACAAGTTGAAGTGGTGACCACAAGACAAGTGTACCTCTCGTTAGTGGCCTTATTCAATTCCGTCCAGAGCTGTGATAATGCATTGTTGCAATTGCTTTCGAGGACAGATGTGAAATATCTGCATTCAGCTTTGTTGCTGTATTTCTCAAACTATGTATTACCTTTTGCCTTCTCGTGATGAAATAAAACTACAATTAGAAATATTTGTTGGTTTGCTCCTTTATATTTTAATATTCATCTCTTATTCCCCTCTCCCACCATCTCTAGTTGCTGGTTTATATGGATGGAAATCTTTTCGTGAAGTGCTGGTGCTCATTCATGTGTAAGACTTCCGCTCACTGAAATCTCCTGTGACTGCATGACCTACTGGTGTGATCGCATTCGGCACACCACCTACTTTGTAGCTACAGCAGTCCTTTCTCATCTTTCTTTTCGCTACTAACGTCTTAACAATAGTTGTAATTCACTACATGCATGTGTTTCTCTGAAACCACTAGTTTTGTCCAGTTTTCCTGCTCCATTAAGCAAGCACTGAGATCATCCCTTGTTTTGCTTCTGGACATAGTTTTCTTATTGTGTTGCACATGTTTTGTTGAGCTCTCCT